CTTGTCCGGATTTCTCAGACGATCCCAAATTCAGAAGACAGCACAAATGTCCAACATCTATGCAGATGCAAGAATCACATACACACATACAAATGCAGACACAGAATGCGCTACAAGCGTCAACGTTTAACCCATTCATAGCAAGTACCTTACGCCCGCCAAAACCTTGAATACAACATTCCTTCCTACCTGACTCCTTTTACCCCAACCCTTCACATTTTTCAAAGACCTCTGAGTGTGATTTTGACAATTTTAGGCATAGATACAGGGGGAAGATTTAATCTGTTTCCTTCTTAGGTCTTGTCTTAGGTGTGGGTATCGAGCCATGTGGAAGTTGAGTCGGAATTCTACCGACCTGTTATCCAGAGATAACATAATATGCAGTTTCTTACGGATTTCTTCCGTAGTCCTCTCAAAGAGTGATGAACCTGTGGACACAACATGGTCCGAAAGAATCTCAAGGTCCTCTTTTTGGGTCCTAAAAGATCCCTTCTAGACTTGTGACCCAAAGTTTTGTGCATGTCGTCGACCTACGGCCCAATTTCTACCCTGATCTAACTGTCAGTCCGCTGCCCAGTTGGTCCAGGCGACGAACAAGCTCATTCATCGTCCCTTCGTCCCTGCGGTTCTACTTAGCTTCCTTCTTTTTATGAGCCCCATGTCCCTAGCCACCACAAGCAATACCATTCATTCAATTCAGAAAGGGATCATGTGATAGAGCTCAACTCAGAATTTCCAAGGGTGGTAAGCCTCTGTGAGTCAAGAACTCAATCTACCGTCTCGGTAGAATCGGAGATAGTTAGTTAGGACTGAACGATGCAGATCGCGGAGAAAGTTAGCGGTGGTATGACAGACCATTCAGGATTTATCCACTTGTTACTGGAGCCTGTTTGACAAGGACAACCTTGTGGGTCTAGGCCCCTTGTGTGCTGAAGCACACTTAATGGCAGACTTAACCCATGACTGGTTACTGATAAGGCAGATTCCTTGCGACACCTTGCTACTTTTATCATTGGCTAGTCACTGATAAGGCAGGTTCATCTGCTACTCTTAACACTGAATAGACATCGATAAGGCAGGTCACCCGGAACCTTGCTACTCTTATCACTGACAGAGTGCTATGATGATTACTGGATAAGGCATGTGTTTTTGAAACCTCGCTACTCTTATATCAGACTAGTCACTTATAAGGCAGGGTTTCCCTGCTACTCTTATCACTGGCTAAACCTCAATAAGGCGGGTGTCCAAGGAACCCTGCTACTTTTACTACTGAATGAATGTGAGGCTGGTCACTGATAAGGCAGGTGTCCTTGAAACCTCGCAACTCTTATATCAGACTAGTCACTGATAAGACAGACTTTCCCTGCTACTCTTATCACTGGCTAGACCTCAATAAGGCGGGTGTCCAAGGAACCCTGCTACTCTTATCACTAGAAGAATGTTAGATCGGTCAATGATAAGGCAGGTGTCCTCGAAACCTTGCTACTCTTATATCAGACCAGTCACTGATAAGGCAGGCTTCCCCTGGTACTCTTATCACTGGCTAGCCATCAATAAGGCGGGTGTCCAAGGAACCTTGCTACTCTTACCACTGAAAGAATGTTAGATTGGTCAATGATAAGGCATGTGTCTTTGAAACCTTGCTACTCTTATATCAAATCAGTCACTGATAAGGCAGGCTTTCCCTGCTACTCTTATCACTGGTTAGCCATCAATAAGGCGGGTGTCAAAGGAACCCTGCAACTCTTACCATTGAAAGAATGTTAGATTGGTCAATGATAAGGCAGGTGTCCTTGAAACCTCGCTACTCTTATGTCAGACTAGTCATTGATAAGGCAGGTTTCCCCTGCTACTCTTATCATTGGCTAGCCATCAATAAGGCGGGTGTCCAAGGAACCCTGCTACTTTTATCACTGACTCAGCGTAAGGCTCATCGGTGGTAAGGCAGGACCTTTCCATGAAGCCTCGCTACTCTTATCACTGGCTAGTCGTTGATAAGGCAGGTTTTATAGACCCTGCTACTCTTATCATGCGACCTGTCACTGATAAGGCAGGCTTCATGCGACCCAGCTATTCTTACCCCTACACAAGTCTTATTGACGGATCAAGTTATTGTCTTTGATGTCACTCGAGCCTTGAACCGTTCTCAGTTTTGAGGATTTATACTGGATCAGATGCGTGATGAGGATCGATCGGTGTGATCCATGATAGTTGATCATAACAAGCCCAAATCAACGGATAGACATCATCGTTTAGGCGGTGTATAGAGAGAAATGATTATGAGAAGTCGATCCCTTGCATCCACATTTCCAAGAAACGCCCACATAGCAAGATTGCTGTACCCAGAAGCAATCAGTCACATTTAGCCAGACATTTCGCCCAATCAGCCCTTCTTTACCTGCACTTTTTACAATCCAAGACTTATGTTCACCCTTTAACCCTTGAAGAATTACTGATTCTGAATTCCTTGCCCTTATGAGCACCACTATGAATAATGACCTATATGTCTTAAAACAACAACTGGGTCGAAGTAGCGTACCTTGTTGTTCCCTACCTCCAGAGTTCCACTTGAACTCCGCCAGAGCTCCCGCAATCGCCCTGTCATAAGTCATATATATAACTCATGTAACTGATTGCTGGCCCCTTAGATTTAACTGAGGCCGTGATTAAATCAACGAGAAACCTTTCATAAAACAATAAGGTCAAGGAGGCAGGCATCTGGGAGGATCACACAAAGACAAGTACGGAGGAGGACGGAGGAGGTGGGCACCATCACAAGTGATAGCGTCTCCCTCCTCTCCAATGCTCCATACTCTTCTTCATCTCCGACTTTGTATTGATGTCTCATGTCAGCTATGGCAACTAACAGAGGTAGCGGAAAAAATCAAGCAATAAAATAATAGAAAAATAATAAAATAATAAAAATAATAATAATAACGAAACAAATAATAATCATAATAACAATAATAAAATAATAATAGTAGTAGTAATAATAAGGGTATGGGCGTGATCGATATACAGAGGACTGCGTTGTGAGTTCTCACAAATGTCTTAGTAGTCGTGTACAATCGCCGAGTATCCAGCAAAATAGAGCAATACGCATGAAGTAATGAGCCAATGCTCAAGTCCTCAGGCCTACACCAACTCGGTATCCATGGTCGCTCTTCTACGTCCGGCGCCCAGTGCCCAATTTATATTACTTGCCTACCCTCCTACAGCCGCACTCACGTAACAGACTCACTTCGACTGTGAAATCCAATGTATATGACATCACAACCAGTGCAGGCTGCGAGTGTATGTCGGGTACGTTTTCTCTTCCCTCTTTCTCTATTTCTCTCTTTCTATCTGTCTCACTCTCGACGTGTATGTGTCACTGTGTCACTGTGCATTGTGCGTCTTTGCTGTCTGTGTACACGCAACTGTCTGTGTGTGTCACAACACCCGTGTGTGTCATTGTATATGCGCCTGCTATTGTGACTGCGTGTGTCACAACCTGTATCTTGCTGTGTATGCTACAACCTCTGTCACACTGGGTATATCACAACATGTATCTTACTGTGCATGCCACAGTCTGTGTCACACTGTGTATGTCACTATGTCTGTATGAGTGTCACGGTGTATTCTGTGTCACCATGTATTGTTGTTTGTGCATCCATGTGTCACCGTGTCTGTTTTTCATTGCATGTCCGTCCGTGTGTTGTCACTGTGTATGTGTCACATTGTGACTATCACCACGTATGCGTCACTGCGTATTTGTGTGACATGGCGCATGTCGCATACCGTAATGGTGCAGACCAGAACAAGAACCGACCTTTCTTACATGGTACAGGGTAGCGCAGCGGAAGGCTAAAATACCAATGATCAGACCAATCAATATCGCAATGCAGATCGAGCATTCATTATCATCGTTGCAGGGTGTGAAGGGACCTGGCGCTCACACAGGAGGGATGCGCCATTCCCCAAACATACACAGACGAGGAGGAGGGCGATCAGACGAATAAGAGGTATGGAGCCACAAGTAACTTTCCCCGTCTGTTAGTCTGTCCATCTGTCTGTCTGTCTGTTTGTCCGTCCTTTTATCAAAGCGCAGCAGAGCAGTAAGGCAACACGATTTGTCACAATGTGCAGCACGCGGAGACCACAACATGGGACACAACAGGCAGGGCGTGTATCCCAATGAGTTGGGCGGATGACAGGCCCATCCTCACGACGCCATCGGTCGATGCATCACACGTCCCCAACCTTCTTCCCATGATATATTCCACTGATGGACAAGGACACACCGTATTGCACAGAGTTAGCATACCCCTGAGAGACGGAAGTGGTCCCCACTTTACTCACACCTGCCCTGCAATGCTAGCAGACTGTCGGTCCAAACCCCTGATGAGAACATGGTTAGGTCTAAGAACCCAGTTTGTCAATGCCATAAAACCCACCCCACATACTCATTTAGTGTGTGTTTCTGTGTGTCACCCGTGCAAGTGTCACGGTGCCTGTGTATGTCTGTTGTGTTTGTGCATGTTTCATTGTGCCCAAAGACCCACATGGTCGCAGGCTGAAAACTCTGCATTTCCCTGAGGAATGCTGTCCTGTCGACCTGTTGGCTGAGAATCTCAATCTCAGTTTGTTCACTAGTGTTCGTATCTGATCAGCCAACGTTGTAGGTATGTCATGCTTGCGTGTTTTCACTCTCTCTTTCTCTCTCTCTCACACATATACACGCACACACACGCACCCGAATACCGATCAGCGGAGATGGTAATTCTCTTATACTGGTTGCAGAAGCAAACTCTAGCTATGTCGCCCAGGTGAGTCATACCAGTCTCCATCTCCTTCTCTCACACATACACACGCACACGCACGCACATAAACAGACACACGTACATCTACACACAACTGTAGAAGTGTATGCTTTCCTTGTTCTTACAGCAGATTCCTTTGATTTTACTTATCATGTGGACGAGAGTGCCGTGAAGACTGTCCTAGGATTGAAGACTTACCTGCTCTCGCTCCCTCTTCGCTGCGCTACAAGATCCATCACGATATGCAGCATTCTGAGATCACGGCATGGGGAGCACGACAGGTATGCATTCAGCATGTCAGGTGGATGACAGATCCAACCCCGCGACGTCGGTAGTACGCCTGTATCGAGTTGTCTGTGCAAACCCATGTAGTCAACGGTACCGGTCCCAGTCAGTCCTAGTCCAGTCAAGCAAGTACCATATGGGACTGTGTGCACCATGGGCCGGTGGAAAGAGGCAGACCAACGAGTTACAGAAGTACAAATTAAGAGCCAGCTTCCAACCATTCATTGATCACTGCTTGAGGTAGGCGGACGCACTGTCTGAGTGTCCTGTGCAAGGTGGCGTGCAGATGCCCGTAGTTGAAGTGGGTCGTGACAGAGATAGAGCGCCCTAGTTAGTGTTAGTAGAAGTGTGTGTGTGAGAGTGTAAGAACCAGTGTGTACAAGTGTGGGATATCCAGGGTGACCCCTTTGTGTGTGCGATCAGAGAGTTGTGTGGGCGCTTTGTCATCATACCCAATGAAATGAACTTGTACCTGAACTGTGCTCTCGGCTACCACATCTCTGAGTTTTGAGTGGGCGATTGTCGCCAGTTTGCTGTGTATTTGTTTGCATAGAAATGTGAATGAAAGGGAGTCTGATTTCACTAATAAATTAATAATAATAATAATAATAATAATAATAATAATCATAGAAACAAAAAAATGCAAAAGAAATGAATGAAGGCGAATCAGCATCATACATGTGTGATCAGATAGTCGTAACCTCGAACCAGCAACAGAATGGTATCACGATTCTCGCCAAACAGAAGCACGACAAAGCTCACAGTCGACAATGCTGGTATAGTCTAATCATCATCAGCCCAGAACCAATGTCGATTCCTATCTGGGGTCGTTGCCCAGACCACAACTGTCAGATCCTATCTACCTTATACTACATTGCCAAAGGTGACAACAATAGTCCTTCCGAAGTACAAGCAGACTGCGGCCAATGCCGCCCGCTTCCAACACCAGGTATGTCTCTCAGTCCACTCACAACCTCGATCCCAACACACAGATGCCACGTATACCCGATGCCATCACGCCTCCCTTCCTTCCCTCTCTCTCATTCTTCCTTTCACACTCTCTCTCTTCGTGTATCAGGTACTAACCTTTGAAGGTGGCGTCTTGACGCAGGTACCTCGAAGACGAAGATGGAGCTATGGAACCACAAGTAAGTCTCCCTTTCTCTGTCTGTCTGTCTGTCTGTCTGTCTGTCTCTCTCTCTCTCTCTCTCTCTCTCTCTCTCTCTCTCTCTCTCTCTCTCTCTCTCTCTCTACTATCAAATGACATCCCTTACGACGAAACCACATACCGCTCTTGCCTACAGCCGGATGCAACTGTCTATCCAATACATAAAAGCATAGTGCACAGCCTCGTCTTGGCATCGAGGAGACGAGTGCCCCACACCCCCTTCAGGCTCAGATGGATTGAAAGCCCCCACTTGCGCACATAGGTGCAAAGGGAGTACTTTTTCCCCTTGAATCTACATGCGACTGTAGCCGCCATCAATACTAACAAAACTCGGCGCAAGCGAAACCCAGGAGACAGAGGACGAAAAACCTTTGTAGCCCACAATCTAAAAGGCAGTGGAACCTCAACGCAACGTGATTCATCACGATATGCGGCATATCGGGACCACAGCATGGGGGACGCGACCATCACGAGCTCGCATTCTAATGAGCCGGGCGGACAACGGGCCCAGCCTCACGACCCCATTCACAGAATATACACGCTCAGGTAAGATTAAATTGCAATAATAATAATAATAATAATAATAATAATAATAATAATAATAATAAAAATAAATAATAATAATAATAATAATAATAATAATAACAACAAAAACAAATAGAATGTATACAAGCTATCTTTCCGATCCGGTACAGTAAAATGAGGGTACATCGCCTGACAGCAGGGACAATGATCAACGACGACCAGGTAGGTCTCTCACCCTCTCTCTCCCTGTTAGCCCGTTCCAGCATTTTATTCTTCCACGTGTGATTGTCTGTTGTTGCCTCCTCACCTCCTTCGGCAAAACCTCCGAGATCACCTCGGCCCAGACACTTCATCGGATCATTCAATCAGTAGGAGCGACAGACGGTGTGTACAAAGAGCAGGGACGTAATCATAGGGAGCTGGTGACTGGCACTAACAAGGCATTCCTCGTTCAAGATCGATAATTACAACAATTGATACCTGATGATAATAAACAATAATAATAAATAATAATAATAATAAATAATAAAGTAATAATAATATCATTAATAAGTCATAATAAATGACACTACCTATCCTCATAGTCAGATACATTCATGTCAGTATTTCTCGTGGAGGGATGACTGTTGACTAACAAATACGTTTCTTTCTTCCTCTCTCTCTCTCTCTCCAATACACACACACACACACACATTCCATCGATAGGATGGGAATCTTTCAAAGGTTCGACCTTCAAGGCATTTCTATTCGAGAGCTCAGCAAGGGGTGGGGCACTGGAAGAACAGTCCTGAGAAAAAAACAAAAGGGGCACAGGCACCATGGCCTGAATAATGGAAAGCCAAAACAGCACTGCCCAGGGCTGCACCTTTCAGGGCCCCCAGGGAGTAGTTCAGACCCCGCCAGCCCCACCAAGCAGGCGCCCCAGTCCACTGCAGGCTGCTTCTGAATCTGGACGTCTCACTTTTAACGATATTCAGACATGCAGCTCTCTCTCTCTCTCTCTCTCTCTCTCACACACACACACACACACACACACACACACACACACACACACACACTCGCACACACNCTCTCTCTCTCTCTCTCTCTCTCTCACACACACACACACACACACACACACACACACACACACACACACACTCGCACACACTCACATAGACTCACTATCACGCATACACTCTTGGAGTTGTGTATAGCAAACATGACAAACGACATCAACAGAAACTACAGGCTGCATACTCGTGCACCCACCAACACACCTCTTCTCTCACACACAGACACTCTCACATACACTCTCTCATACATACACAAACACTCTTGGAGTTGCGTGTAGAGAACATGACAAACGGCATCAACAGAGACTACGGAGTGCACACCCATGCCCTCACAGTAAAGTTGATGTAGTGCGCACCTTGAAACCGACCGCGGTTGGTTCGGTGGCTTGGAGACAGACAACACTAACCCAGGAAGGGCAAGAAGAAGAGGGGGAAAGCGCAGAAGGGGGAACAAGTTGCAATGAAGAACGTACCTATAAATTAAGACCCAGATGTGTTACAAAACCACTAAAATGCAGAAATCAGACAAGCTGTCAGACCATTGCCACAATAGAAAACCCTGCAGTGCAGCCACACAGATGTCTTCGTGTGGATATATATATAGATAGTCCGGACTACAATCAACGTCCGCCTCTGTGTATGTGAGTGTGTGTGCGCATCTCCCCGCACGATTCCCTCTCTCTCTCTCTCTTTCTCTCTCTCTCTCTCTCTCTGTGTATGTGTGTGTGTGTGTGTGTGTGCATCTCCCCACACGTTTCCCTGTGTGTGTGTGTGTGTGTGTGTGCTCACCTCCCGCATGTTTCTTCCCTGCCTCTCTCTCTCTGTGTGTGTGTGTGTGTGTGTGTGTGCGTGTGTGTGTGCACCGCCCCGCACATTTCTTCACATTCAAAACGCGAATGAAGGTTCATTCGTTTCGTGTTTTACAAATGCTTCTCTCTCTCTCTCTCTCTCTCTCCCTCCCCCCTTCAGAACGTGGAACATGGGAAGTATGATTTTTGATTTGAAAGGGACGCAACGAGAGAGAGAGAGTGCCGAGGGCAGTGGTTGGTGCCCACCTCAAGGTATCCGTTGTTGGGCAGTCGTTAATCTAAACCACAATGGGGGTTAAGTGTAATCAATTAGGAGAATTTGCATCCTGTCGAGGTTCCAGCCTCCTGATCAGTCGGTGCAGTTCAAACTGAGCAGTTTGCCAAAGACCCTCCCCTGTTGAGGTTCCAGCCTCCTGATCAGTCGGTGCAACTCTGTTTGACAATATACATATGTATATACAGATCGTGCCATCAATCGCCCAGCTACTACCACATTGATTAAGTTTGCAACAAAACCTCTCAATTTTTTCGGAGGTCACGATTGGTCGCCAAGTATGGATGGGATATCGAGATATCAAAATCTCTCCGCCGTTCATCACTTACCAGAATGAATTACAGCAGCGTGTTTCGCGGCACCTGGTACACGCCGAAGAACGTTCCGTCAAGTCGCTGGTATATTAAGG